GTTGTTCAAAAAAATTATTTTTTAATTAAATTAATTTTCTAATTATTAATCGAATCGAATAAAATTTGACTAATTCGATTAATCATTGAATTAACGGGAAACTGTTATAAGTTATAGCCTGTGGGTATCTTTTCATTTGGTCCTAAGTATTTTGAGTTAATTGCATCATATGTCTTCAAACTATAACTTTCATTTAAATTTTATCCTTGAACTTTTGAATATTTTAATTTCATCTCCAAACTATAAGTCTCATTTTAAAATTATTCCTTAAACTTTTGACCATTCTAATTTTATCTCTAAACTATGATTTTTTTCTAAATTAGTCCCCTGACTGTTGAATATTCTAATTGCATCTCTAAATTCATCCAAATATATAATTAGTTTAAAATTTGAGGATTACTTTAGAATGAAGGTCATAGTTTGAGGATGAAACCGGAATGTTCAAAAGTTTAAGGATTAATTTATAATTGTAGTCATAATTTAGAGATGAAATTGAAATATTTAAAATTTTAAAGACCAATTTAAAATGAAGGTCATATTTTGAGAAAATGTGATATAATTAACTCAAATATTTTCTTTATTTGGGTCTAGATACACTAAATGGTTATTAAAATTTTAATGGATATGGGCTTTATATATAATATTTAATGTTTTTGAGTAATATAATTAATTAATCAGTTATGAATTGAATTAATCAATAACATAAATTTTAGAAATTTTTGTAATTATTCTCTGATCAAATAAATTTAGATGATATATTGTTTAATCGAACTAATTTGATTCACTCGGTTAATTTTCGATCGACACCTCCTATTTCTTCAGATTGTGAATTTATTATCCATTAGGAGTGAAAATTACCCTTCTCCTCCCCCATAAATAAAATTGTTCAAAAAATTAACAATTAATGAATTATAACGGAATAGACGATAATTATAACTTCTTCATTAAAATGTCAAACTTTATATAAACTATTAATAAATATTTATACGTTTACAAATACCACTGTTATTAAACAGTAATATAAATTTAAAATTATATCAATTTTGCGAATAACTCGCAAATAATAGATAATTAGTTATATATTTTTAAAATTTCATATCATTTTAAAATAAAAAATAGTTATAAAACGAAAAGATAATTGTTCTTATCACTTTTCGATCCATTCTTAGTAACTTCAAAGATATGTATATTGATTGGGAATGTTCTATATGTGTTTTTTCCATTTTGTTGCCTTTGTTGCGTTGCGATTAGGGGAAGCTTGATTGTCTTAAATTTCATGTATGTCCATTCAATGTTATCACATACTTATAATCTAAAAATATATAAATGAAAGTAGACTAATTATATTAATTAATTACTTCTCTTAAAATCATCAAATAACACAAATTATGGTTCATGTATGTCGATCCAATGATTACCACATAATTATAATCTTAAAAATATAAATAAAAATAGACTAATCATATTAATTGATCACTTCTCTTAAAATCATCAAATAACACAAATTAATCACTAAATATTGAAAATAAGATCACGCAGATCCATGTTGTTCATGATGTGGTTACAAGGTTGTCAAAGGATAGTTACTTGTATTTCTCTTTGTTTGTTGATACTAGTTTAAATGACTCTTAACTAAATGAAATGTAGCAATGGTGTAGAGAGACTGGTGCATAATGTGCCACTTAGATGAACTAACCGGTTCAGAGCTGGAAAATCCAACATAAGATTGGATATGAGTATGACCATCAATGTTGGTTGAGAAACATACTAACTGCACAGACATATTATGCAATTATTCAGACTTGCCATTTACATGTGTTTGAGCTTGACAGATTTTAGGAAATCTGGTTACTGGGCTTTTTCTCAGGGAATAGGCTTTGAGTACCGTCGATTTAAGTCTCAAAATTTAGAGGTATAATTTCTGTCTTTTAGACTGAAATGGAATCTAATTTGTTTGATCTTAAGGTTATTAAATGACAAAAAATAATTAATATGTTGCAGGCATGAGCAACCAAACGTTAAGATTTTTGTATTTGTGAATTGTGATGTGAGGGAAAGATTTTAAATAAACATCAGTATTTTACATTGTTCTTGTTAGATAAATTGTTCAATATTGGAATCTTCAGTGTAGTTCAGGTGAATGTTGTGTGATGGGAAAATAGTTCACTCTTGGTCAGAAGTGATGGGCTCATGCTGCTACTCTAATCCAGTATTCACTTGATTGAGGCCAGCATTTAGTACTTGCAAAAAGACATCTATTGTATTGTGGGAAAATGACAAGTTAATATTATAAGATCTTAGTTCAAGTTTTCTTTTATTGGTGTTTCTGCCATGACTCTTTAAAAGTAGAAGAGCTAGGGAATAAGTGAAATGTTTGCTACTGATACATAAGCAATTATCAAACTGTATTCGAAGTTTTCATGCACTTTGCATGCATATTCACATGCATTTTATGTACGTGTGCATCATAGATAATTACTCTGCACACATATGACCCTAGTTGTTTAACTTGATTGTCATCTGTCAAAATGTTCATGTCAAGTCTTTATAGTTTTGTTTGATTTGATTGTAGTTTATGCCGGCTCCTCCACCGGTTCCTTGGGGGTGGGATGTTTATAACTTTGGCATGATCTTATTAGTACCATTGGCTTTGCATATTGCATGATCCTTCACAGATGTCCTTTTCACTGATCTATGTCACTTTTGGCATCTTCAATTGGGCATTGCATTTAATCACTTCCTTGTATTCAATATGGTTGAAATTCGTTGACTCCAGCTGCCTCGTTTTATTTGAGCTTCATTGTATTAGTTTCTATTGGGGTATACTCTAGTTGAGTCAAATTTCTGAGCTCTCAAGAGGTTACATGATAAGTTTTGTCTTTGAGGCAGTGTACATTTTCCCTAATCTGGGTTCATTTACCAGAAAAAGTTCAAAGAATATTTATTTTAACTAATTCCTAAAGTATCAAGCCAACGCCGGAACAGATAGATGTCTGTACCCTTCTTCCATCATTCCCTTGGGAGTTGGGACAAGTAGTTATGAAATTTTTTTATTGCCGGTGACAATTCTGCTGAGTTTTCTGTTTTTTCCATATATTTTGTGCCTGTGCTTTAACAGGGTTTCCGAAAGGTTGATCCAGACCGTTGGGAATTTGCAAATGAGGGTTTTTTAAGAGGACAGAAACACCTGCTTCGAAACATAAGCCGGCGAAAGCCTGCCCATGGTCATGGTCATCAACAGACACAGCAATCACAAGGAAAGAGTTCATCTGTGACTGCCTGTGTTGAGGTTGGTAAATTTGGGCTCGAGGAAGAGGTAGAGAGGCTTAAGGGAGACAAGAATGTGCTTATGCAAGAGCTTGTTAGGTTAAGGCAGCAGCAACAGGCAACTGATAACCAGATGCAGAACATGGTGCAACGTTTTCAGGGAATGGAGCAGCGGCAGCAGCAGATGATGTCATTTTAGCAAAGGCTATGCAGAACCCTGGTTTTTTTGCTCAATTTGTGCAGAAGCAAAATGAGAGCAATAGGCGCATAACTGAAGCCAACAAGAAAAGGAGGCTAAAGCAGGATGTTATGACTGATAATGATCATTCCACTGCATCAAATGGGCAGATTGTTAAATATCAACCTTTGATGAATGAGTCGAAAGCAATGTTCATGCAGATTATGAAAGGGGATGCTTCTTCCAGACTGGACTTCTTTAACAACAACGATGAACATATCCTGATAGGTGGCGGTTCATCATCGTCTAGTGGATTGGATTCAACCCGTGTATCAGGGGTGACTCTTCAAGAGGTGCCACCAACTTCAGGTATCTCTGGGCATTGCCCCTCAGCTGCCATATCTGAAATACAATCTTCCCCATGTACGACATCCTCTGAAAATATCACAACATCACAATTTCCAGATGTGAGTGCGCTGGTTGGAGCAGAAAAGCCACCATCCATGTCTGCTGCTCAGACTGATATAATTATGCCCGAGCTTAGTCAAATACCAGAAATGGTCCCAGAAAGCCTTGTTGATATTCCTACAGAAAAATATTCGAGGTCTGAATCTGGGAACGATGGATTGGTTGATCCCACTATGTTTTTTGGAAATGGTCCGGTACCCACAGAACTTGATGACATTGTATCCGATCCCGACATAGATGCCTTGCTAGATGGCTCTACATTTTGGGATGACCTTCTTTTGTATAGTCCAGCGCCAGAGGATATTGAATCAACCTCAATGGAGGGTAAAAGCATGGAAAATGAAGGGCAGGTGATGGACGATGGATGGGACGAATCTCAGCATCTGGATAAGCTTACAGAACAGATGGGTCTTCTTAGATCAGATAACAAGAAGGTCTGATCTTTTGTTATATTTCATTTATTCAAGTTAAAACCGGAAAGTTATGAAATCCCACGATCCTTCTATGTTGGAACTGGAAAACGATGAATCCCTTCACTGTCTGTGTTGTTCTCTCACATGTATACTCATTATTCTCTGTTTATGTTGTTCCTCATAACTGAAAACTCCCTTTCAGTTTAGCTATGTCGGTCCAAGGAACTAATAAAAAAATTTAAAAAATATTAAATTTAAAGATGAAAAGTTTCTATTTTTTTATTGTTCAGACCTAAAGGGAAGCCTTCTCTTCTCTCACATGTCGCAATTGAAGTCTTAATTTAGAAGCACATTTTTTTAATTGACAAATAGCTCCATAAAATCTGACGTTTTGTTACCCATGAAGAACACATAATGTTAAGTAAAAAAGACACGTGTGAGGCCAAGAACAGTACCCAGGGGATTGTCACAACTTATGATCCCAACTTGGAGGGTGTAGCCGTTACATTGATCCATTATTTGCTATCATTTATCAACTTAAATTGTCAATTCACGCTTTTAAAATTATTAAAAAATGAAAATTAATTCTTATATACACATAATAAAAGAAAATAAAATTTGGGTTTACGATGTATTTTTTAGAAAAGGAAAACTGTAAAGTAGTAGATAAAAGCGAAGGGTGAATGTAGCTAAAAAAATAGAGAATGTGTAAATGGCACTAGTCAGGAAGAGAAGGCACCGACAGGGACTCCGTCTATCCCTACCTCCACCGTTAGTGGCAGCTGATCTCCGGAAGCAGTCTCATTATGCGGCGTTGCTGTCGGCCATCTGTCCGACATCCCCGGACATCGAAAGCCTCTCCGACCTCGAGAAACTCGATGTCATTGGACATGGCAATGGTGGCACTGTCTACAAAGTCCGGAACCGTAAAAGCTCGTCGGTTTTTGCATTGAAAGTCCTCCGTCTCGATCCAAACGTTGCCGTAATACGGCACCAGGCGGCTTGTGAAGCTGAAATCCTGAAAAGGGTTGATTCACAATTCGTTGTTAAATGCCTGGCAGTGTTCGACACAATAGAAGGAGATCTCTGTTTTGTCATGGAGCACATGGAGAGGGGATCGTTGTACGACGAACTCCGTGTGAGGGTGAATCTGCCTGAATGTGTTATTTCCAGGATTGCCGAAGGAGTTCTACGAGGCTTGCAGTATCTGCATGGAATGCAGATCGTTCATGGGGATATAAAACCATCTAATCTGTTGATAAACGGGAAAGGAGAGGTGAAGATTGCAGATTTTGGAGTGAGCAAGATCGGTGTTGGCACACGTAGTGCCTGTATCATGTGCATGGGTACGTGTGCTTACATGAGTCCAGAAAGGGTAGACTCGGAGAGGTGGAATGGGGGTAATGCAGATGGTTTTGCTGGTGACGTTTGGTCGCTAGGCGTGGTGCTCTTAGAATGTTTCGTTGGCCATTATCCGTTGGTTAGTCTCGGAGAAACGCCTGATTGGGCTGTTTTAATGTGTTCCATATGCTTCGGGGAGAGGCTGGAGATACCGGAGACGGCTTCACCGGAATTTAGAAGCTTTGTGAGGAGATGTTTGGAGAAAGATTGGAGACAGAGAGGAACGGTGAATGAGCTTCTTGCCCACCCTTTTGCGAGTAGGAGCTTTTGAAAGATTCACGGATTGTGCCTTTGAACCATTGAATTTCTTAATCAATTTTGCTAGAAAAACAAACAAACAAAAAAATCAGTACTTTTGGTTTTTCTCCTTCATAATTAGACTTTTCTGGGTTGTCAAATATTTGGAGTTTGCAGCTAAACTCATCGGATAAGTGCACTGAACTTGAAGCTTATTTCAGATATTTGGAGTTTTCAAAGAACTTGGACACATTGTAACTGCAGATTTCCAACCTGCAAGGAACCATGCGCATGGCGAATAATAATGGCTAGCAGAGCTCTAAAAGCAAGACCTTTATTCAAAGCCGCTGAGAACTCAAACTCAAACATTAACGCAACCCCGAGGTTTACGCAGTTATAAAGTTCCTTGCTTTATATCCTCATGGCAGGTTGATTAATAGCTACTGTTTCTTTACTATAACTTCGAAACAGACTGTAAACACAAATCGAATTCAACACTACAACAGACCGACAGGTTCGGTCATTTAAGGAGTATTCAAATGTCAAAATGGAAAGGAAACACTGTCTTTGCTTATTGGCAACAGCAAAAAGTATGTAATTCTTCAAATAGGTGCTTGAATCCACAATGCAGTTCAGCAATGTATAGATATAATATAGAGTTGTTAACTAGAGCCAATCTTTTAGCTTTGAAGTCCAATCTCAAGATATCTGAAATCATTTTGGTGGAGCCATGCTACGATTCTGTGTAAACTCCTGCTTCTGTAGAAATCCACCTGCAGGAATCCTTAACATTGAATCAATAAATACATTTTCGTAAACATACAAGAAACAATTGCAGTCCATTTGCAGCTATACAGAGAAATAACTAGCTTTTCATGACATTTCAGTTACTTTTCACTTCCTTTTACCTGCAAACCGGATAAGACTTAGAACAGAACAAATGAAGAAACCAGAGAGAAAAACCCAATATGCAAAGGTCTTGAAAGGCAAATACTGTAGGCTGATTAGAGAATGGTGGAAAATGAACCAAACGATCCGAATTCAAGTCATACCATTAAGTCAAACCCGAAGTGTAAATGGATCACATTATAACAGGAGTAATGATCAAATATACAGGATTTAACAAAAGTGTGAGAATGCAATTATTGTCGGATGAATCATAGAACTAACCTGGTCTTGATATGAGGTGGATGCGGGAACGAGGGCCTTCGAATTTCCAGTTATCTTCATCCAATGATTTAACCGCTTCATTGAGTGCAGCCATCAAATCAGATTTTAGAACTGCAATGTAGAAGCAATTACAGTTTAGTCTATGGCCTCTGCTCAGGTTTAAGGGGGGGAAACAGGATATAACACAATTAATCCTCCAAAACAATCTCAAGAAGTTTACAAACATAAACCAAATAAATCAACCAAAAATTCATTTTTATTATCCATAAATTCCATTATTTTGATGTTAAAAAACCAAGAATTGTCCACCCAAAGCCTCATACAAGAAGACTGTAATCACCCAATACTAAACACAGCAACAACTATCCTAAAACCCACAACAAATAACGCATACATGCAGCAAAAGCTCTAAACTTTCACAGGAATTCCACAAATACAATTAAAACCTAAATGTCCATGCAGGAAAAAACCCACCCCAATAGCTAAAAAACACAAACTTTACACAATTAAATGATGCATAGTCCAACTCCAAAGGGGAGAAAGAAGGAAACAAACCAAGCATGGCCTCATCCTTGCGGTCTTGGATAGATATAAGATCGGAAGGGAAATGGAAATCATCCAAAGCAGCATTAGTGCCACCACTTGCCCCTCCTCCTCCAACGATTGCTGTTGTTGATATCGATGAATTCGCTGGTGATGAACTATTCATTTTCCTTGTTTTTTTTTTACCTTTTCCTTTCAGATGGTGAAAAGAATTGAAATTTTTGGTTGAACGAGAAAACACAAAAAGACCCAACTTTTCTCGAATGCCAGATTTACAGTTCTGTTCACAAACGAACCGTTCGTATGTTTGGAACTCGGAAGGTAGATTGAATTTTTGCTGCTTTTATGAGTTATGGACTATGGCGTATCTGGGCCTTATTTAAGCCCAAAGATGTGTTCTTTGATTTAGATCTTTCATTTCATTTTGTTCTTCGTCTTCCAAAATCGATTTGAGTTCATCTGCATCTGCATCTTCTTTCTTTTGTTTCTCTCAGAAGTTTGCTTTTGTTATGAATAATCCGATTGTATGTTTTGCGACTGCATCTGAATGTTTAGATAAACTCTGGGTTGGGTTGCATTGGTAATTTGGATCACTATTCTTCTTGATAATGGAATTGTTAGTGAAATTCTGCTTCAATCTTTACACAGTTCTCATGTTTGTCTACATAAAACATTTAATCCAAGTAGAAAATGTCCAACCATGGAGTTTTCATGTAATTTCACACCCATTTTGTATCTTCCATTCAATTTGAGCTTCCCTTGGAGTTTTAAATGTTTGAGCTTCAAAATCTTCACAGAAGCGCCAGGGTAAACCAGCATTTGGTTTTCCTATCATAGAAAACAAACTAATTTTTCTGTTAAAACTAGGAATGTTTCATCTTCCTGGTTTTGATGTTGATTAGCATGTTCTATTTGTTACATGATTTAGAAATATGTCCCTTTTTGGAGACACCAACTTAGAATTGCCTTCATTTCGTTCATTTTGGTCCTTCGATCTGCCGGATCCGACATCCTGTTTAAGCAGAATACTGGAATGGAAATCAACATGCTGCTTCAACTGCATGCACGATATCAGGTAAGTTAAAGGAAATCACCTTTCTATATGATCTCGTTTCAATTACTTCGCAACCGATGCAACTATCATTGAGGCAAAATTAACTCAGATAGGGGCATTGATTGTCGAATAAGGTATTCAGTGAAATAAAAAAACAAATATATTGAAAAATAAAGAATTAAATCTATTATTACAAGAAATTTTACGAAAACAAAAGGGGAGGACAAAGAAAGCTGTAACACAACCTCAACAATCCCAAACACAAATGCTAAAAGAAAATCTACACAGATCAAAAAGATATGGCAAAATGAATGACCAATAACCAAATGTTATATGCTAAAACTAGAAGAGAACTCCTGTCAGATCATATGCTTCACAAAACAACGTAATCAAATGCATCACCAAAAAGATCACCCTCTTGTTCTTCAAAGATCTCTAGATTGTTCTATATGATCAAATAGGATGAGCTTCATATCAGGCTGCTAGTACTGTGACCACGATCAGAATCACAATTGCAAATATCACCAGGAGCAAGCAGGTCTGCCCAAAGAGAGTAATGAAATTAATTCCTTGGAAGGAAGGTAGGTGGATGGTATCTTTCACCAGTGAAAGCAACTATTTATTTAAGACTGTTTTAAATAGGCAGGTAACCACCAAAGGGAACTCCGAGCCGTGTTCCACTATCCCAATTAAAAGGGACTACCAGTGTAGTTTACCCTAAAATTAAAACAGAAGAATCGAAGCATTATAGATTACCAGAGAAGAATTTGATCTCTGAGTCTTTGCAGCCTTCACAAGCTGTGATTTTGCCTGTACAGTGGCATCCCGTGAATTTTCAATATGGGTACCAATGTCATCTGCAGCATATAGAATAACTTTCAGTACTTTTCATCATGAGCCAGAAAATCAGAACAATCATAGTGAAATGAACAAAATACAAAAGATGAAATTCGTTACCAATCATAGTTCCTTGCTCATGAACTAGTACAGCTAGATCTTTGAAGATCTCATTCACCTCACCAATTTGCTGCTGAATTTCTTGAATTCCTTGTTCTCTTTCCTCAATGATAGCCTCATTAAATGCAATCTCGTTATTCAACAGCAGGACCTCCTGTCTGCAAAGAAAAAAAACACATGCTAAAGGCTGTAGTTTGATAACCAAATCCATAAAAACGACATATAAATAGTATAAACAAATAGCACTCATGGTCAGGCATAGTTTTGCTCTGAAAATTCTAGGAACAAAAACTTGACTCTATATATCGTATCGGTGCATGGAAAAGAATATGATCACTCGACTTTCCAGAAGTATTTAATATTTAGAATAAAAATTGTATGATACAAGCTATCACACTATCACTAGGGATCTTTTTCATTTATGATACTCCAATCTAATACTAAACACAAATATAGAAACAGGCAAGCATGCATGTAGACACACACAGAGACAATACAAGGAAAAATTAGCATATGGATTCAAACAGGTCCAGAATCTATTTAGAAAATGTACAAGCTGCCTAATGAACATGAACAACAGGGAGGAATAATGAGCAAGAAAATTCAAAATCCATGTCTGAATTCCAGAAGTGTTCACCATATGAAAGGGATAAGAATTTGTAAAGCAAAAGTTACCTTCTTGATTCTACAAGAAGAGCTCGCTGTTCTATATCTGATCCTACATCTATCTCACCAGCTGTGTAGCTGCATAAAACAGGAAAAAGCCTCAAATGAGAATAACTGCAATATGCAGAAGTCTATGGCATTTTGAAGTATAACACGAATAACTATCAAAAAGTTTAAATTTACGACCAGAAAATGGCAGAAAATTCAGTAATCAATAAGGATGTTATATGAAAGATTTTCAGAACCATCTTGTTATGGACTCAATTTCCGCCTTAGCCATGAACACAAAAGCATTGAAGCCACTCTTCTAACATCTATGTAAATGTAAACCCTCAGATGGTAGATACCTTGAAGGAAGAACTGTTTGGGGAACAAAAGGAGTGTATGCTGTTTCTCTTTCAGCTGCAAGCCGTTGAGCCTTCTGAAACTCTTTCAAAACTGCTTGAAAGTCTTTTGCAAGTTTAGCATCAGTTACCTTCTTGCTTGCCTACAATCATAAGGATATAAAGTACTACCGGAGGGGAAATAGGGGGGGGAGCGGTTGAGCGACTTTATAAATAACTTCAATAACCCATGTATGAATTACTATGAGTTTGAAGCATAGAACAAGAGTGAAATTGTGAATAATAGACTGTATAATCATCTCTCCTCTCAGAGTCGGTTGACTTTCAAAACCATAACCAGAAAACAAACTTACACTAACTTCAGCACGATGATCTGTTTCACTAGCTTGTTTAAGTTTAGCCGAAGTGTCCTTCACTAATTGCCCAATATGTAGCCTCGTTTTATGCCTGCCGATTGATATTTGTCAGTTATATTCTCCACTCATAAATCTAATAACCATATAGTCAAAATTACTAAAGAAATGCCAAAAATAGCAACTCGATGCCCGTCCAATACAATAATGAGACCACTGAGTGAGCAAGAAAATATAGAACCCAACATTAAATATCTAGAAACATATATACGCTTGTTCAAAGAATTTTGACATTCGTCCCTACGAAAATGATATTTCGCTGAGCTTTCTCAAAAGGAAAGTCAAATTGAACTTGACTAAGGCCATTATTTGTCATCCATTGTCATCCAAAAAAAAAGATCAATTATAAAATTAAACCAACAATGTTATGTACTATGATTTAAAATCTCAACAGGATCGTATTTATATCCCGTGATCAGTTAAAATTGCGATCCAAAGAACCGAAATTGGGCAAAGACTCACAGCTTTTCTCGGAGCTCAAGCGTGTCCTTAGGAGTGCCGATGGTATTGACGAGTCGCTGGAAGGTAGAAACGGCGGTGTTGATCTGGAAAATGCCGGAAGCCACTGCTTGGGTGGCATCTTGCTTGCCGTCGTTCAGATTTTGCCGCGACGACAATGGCCGTCCAGCTTCCAGATCTTGAAAGCTCGTGACTGCTACTTGTCTATAAGTTTTTCGATATAACTCCCAACTTTTTCTTCTCTAGAAAATAAATTTTCTGGAGAAAGTTAATGGGAAAATGACAATAACATGCTAACCGAGCAGGCTCTTTGGCTACAGTTGGAGTATATATAAAAGAAAGAAACAATTCACAGTTTGACCCCTAAAACATACAGTATTTTACATTTTTGTATCTAAACCTTTTTTCCTATTTTAATACCTAAAGTATTCACTGTTATACTTTATAGTCCAAAACGTTACCGACATTAGAAAAAAAATACCTTAACCTAATGAAATATTTTAACGTCTGTTAAATGTTGGACTGAAAATTATAATAAAGAAATACTTTAGGTATTGAAATATGATAAAAAGATTTATGTACCAAAACGAAGAAAATATACCCTTCAAAGGTCAAATTGTTCATTGAACTAAAAACGAAATATAATACGAATAACCAGTTGGTCTAGTGGATGAGGCACTAGGTCCTTTAAACAATGTTAGTAATTTGAATCCTGGCATTTATGAATGAAGCAGGATCGCCCTCACCTCTGTAATATCCGATCTGGATTAGTCAGTCAATAAATCAAATACTAATGATTAATTAAAAAATCGAAATATAATAACAGCGAGATAATTGAGGGCCGTGACGGATAGAAAGGAGAAACAAATCTGACGTCTTTAAAAGAGTATAATAAAAATATTAATTAAATTTGGAAAAATATTATTTCATGTTGGTCTCACAACTTCAAACTTTTTTCTCTATTTGATCTCGAGGTTTGGATTTTTGTTAAATATACATAAATATTTTTTTTCTATTTTAGGTGATTGTGTAACACAATTTAATAATGTCATAATAAAATTTATATATGAATTTTTTTAAATAAATTATGAGACTGATATAGATAAAAATTATTTAAAATTAGAATAAACAGTTAATAATTTAAGGAATTAAGTGTTGTTTTACCCTTAAAATAATAATAAATAGATTTGATAAGTATCGTGCGAGGCGGATTGTTTAGGGATTTCATTTCTTGGCAATGGCGCGAGGATGATTTGTAAATTATTTTGTTTATTTATGGGTAAAGTACACAATTGGTCTCCTAATTATAAGATATAGCTTTGTTGAGTGCCTCAACAATTAAAAGTTATAAAATGATCCTCTAACTATATGATGTTACTTTGTTGAGTCCCTTGACTAATAAAAGTAATAAAATAGTCACTAGACTATTCATGTATTCTAAACTCATCCTTTTTCATTGAAAAATTGATGACAATCAGATTTTGACGTTAATCTATTGGATGAGATATGATAATCATTTGAGATTCTATGATCAAAATTTATTCACAATCAGTTAACGTCCTACTTAGACTATCGTTAATTTTTTAACAGAAAATGATGATTTTGAAACATATGAATAGTCGGATGACCATTTTGCAAACTTGTAATAGTCATGGGACTCAACAAAATAATGTCTTATAGTCAAGAGATCATTTCATAAATTTTAATAGTTAAAAGAATAAAAAAATAGTAACCTCTAGTAGGAGAATCACTTGTGTACTTTACCCTTTGTTTATTTGGTTGTTAATTATTATTCGGTTTTCTTTTGTTGGTACGGTAAAGTGATATGGATTGGAACACAGAAACGTGGCTGATGAATGGTCGGTAGGAATGATAAAATATTTTAAATTCATCAATTTTCAACTTAATTTGTTTTTATAAAGTCAATTTTTTAAAATCAAATTATAGAACGAGGAGATTTAAATTAAAAATTTTAAAAAAGTTTTATTCATTATCATCTCTAATTATTTGTTTAAATGTTAAAAAATTCAAATAAAATTATTAAATTAAGAAATTACAAAAAAAAAATGACCTTAATTCAAACATATATGACCTAAATGATTATTATTTTTCTTTTGATTATCAAGTTGATTTGTTTGTCGGAATAACGTGTAAGGCGGGCCCTAATGAAAAACAATTAAGATTTAAGAAATGGATTATGTAATTATTGCCTTAATACAAATTCTCCAATTGGCGGTACATGAGCCCCTAAAAGAACTCCCTCTCTCGTGCGTGCCAAGCATTTCCATTTTGCCTACACCACACCCCTCGCACGTGCCTCCCAACCCTTCAGTCTCTCCCTCTCCCTCATTTGATTACCTTCGTTTCTTTTCTTCCTTCCTTAAGACGAAGACTTGATTTGATTGGCTGAAGTTCTCATTCCCTCATTAACCATGGCATCGGTTAGTTCTTGCTTTTGATTGATGAATATAAACTCTGTTTTCCTTTTCATTGATCTTTTCTTTGCAACCTGAAGTTGGTTCACATTTTCTGTTTGTTTGTTCTAATCTTTGAATCCTTCTCTCTTTTGATATATTTATTTGTAGATCCAACGGTTACTGTAACTCTGTGCATAATGCAGCGAGAGTTTCACTTGATTCTTGAGGGAACTTAATTAATAAAAGGATTTTTTTTATTTGTGTTTGCTTAGTTGAATCGTTCTAGATTCCCCGTTCAATTTTCTGTTCCTTTTAGATTGCTTCATTTATTTTCACTTGTAAGCTTGTTCAGGTTGAGTCGTAGTTAGTGCTTACCTAAGTCAAGGGAGATAGTCGGTCATGACTTGCAGATATTATAAAATCAATGAGAAATGGTTGTTTGAGGCTGTTAATTTGCAATATGTTTTAGAGTTATTTCTCTTTGGCCTTTAATAATGAAGATTTTTAGTAGTAATGCTGCTTGTCATTGCAGATTAAAACCATTAAAGTCAGCAATGTTTCTTTACGAGCTACTGAGCGAGACATACACGAGTTCTTTTCCTTTTCTGGTGATATAGAATATGTTGAAATGCAGAGGTCGGTTGCATTTTTTACTCAAGTTCTTAGCATCTTTTATTCACTTTTCGATGGGAGTAAAGCTTTTCATGTGGTTATGCAGTGACACTGAGGTGTCTCAAATTGCCTATGTTACCTTCAAAGATTCACAAGGAGCTGAGACTGCTATTCTTCTTTCGGTAATTCAGCTGCATTCAGTAATTTCAATATAATTTCACTCGTTTCATGGAAAAATGTGTGCTCATGTTTTCTTTGTTGATAGGCATAATATAAGAGTTTTAGATGATAACGATAAGGACAGTGATCGCATAATAAAATAGATACCAAGATTTTAAGATTTTACTTGAAAAATCATTTTTGAAGAAACCATGAGCAGAATAAGAGAATTTTCAACTAATATCAACAAAAGAAAAATACAAGAGAATTTACAAAAATAGCTTAATTTCTAACTCTAACCTTCAGTATCTATTTACAAAATCTAGTCAAAGTAATTTTCTATATAAAAGAAAGAAAAACTTCCTAGTTCTAATCAAACTAGATTTATTATTTTTCTCAATTATTTCTTGTCAAACTCTAACAAAGACAATTTACTTTACAATTCTTGTCTTGCCAGATTGTGCTATTGTTGAAGCGCATGATTCCATGGTTGCTTTTTTTTTCTTCTTTCAAAAATGAAGTCTAGATTGTTTGGGACATAATCTTCCTATCCGGATTGTTTGAGAAATGTATTCATGTTGCAAATGCGGATTGACTAGGCCAACATAATTTTTTTCTCTTTATGGCAAACAACTTTAATAAGTACTTGTGTTTCACGGAGCTACCATAGTCGATCTGTCTGTCAACATTTCGTTGGCTCCAGATTACAAGCTGCCTGCAGCTGCTTTTGCGGTGCCTTCGGCTCCTGCAACTTTTGCGCCGCCTCCTGTGAGTGTCATGCCCTGTTGTTAGTTTAAATGCTAGAACAAAGCTTAAAATTCTATTTCCTGCAGCCAACGCAAAACAAAAACACTGCCGGTGCTGATTCAACTATTCGAAAGGCAGAGGACGTTGTCACAGGTATGCTTGCTAAGGGCTTCATCTTGGGAAAAGATGCAGTCAACAAGGCAAAGAGCTTCGACGAGAAGCACCGGTTAACATCAACAGCCTCGGCCAAGGTAGCATCTTTTGACAAGAAAATTGGCTTCACTGAGAAGGTAAGCGCAGGCACTATTGTGGTGAGTGACAAAGTGCGGGAAGTTGATCAGAAATTTCAGGTCTCGGAGAAAACGAAATCAGCTCTTGCTGCTGCCGAGCAAAAGGTCAGCAGTGCGGGATCTGCCATAATGAAGAACAGGTATGTATTCACTGGAGCTTCATGGGTAACCGGTGCTTTCAACAAGGTAGCAAAAGCAGCAGGGGACGTCGGGCAGGAAACAAAGGAAAAAGTGGGAGCAGCTGAGGAAGAACGAAAAAGAAAAGTGGTAGATGACTTTGCTCAGATTCATCTATCTGATGAGTCCCCTAATGCTTCTGAACCAAATGAACAACAAAAACCCTCCAAGCATGCACCTGCACAAGGGTTGATCCTTTGATAATGCTCTTGTATTTCCACCGAGGAAAATCAATCCCATAGCATTTCATATGATTAAACTATATTCTTTGGCAGACTGTTGAGTGAATTGAACTGAAGTTACATTGTTGATGGTGGTTTTCTTATCTAATTTTTATATGTTTGTATCTGAATAGAGTTTATAAAGCAACTGAACGTGCAACAACAAATAAGTGCTAAAAATGCCTTGCACATGTAAGCATGATGGCGGCCGCGGCAGATGTTGGGTTTTGGTTAGCTCAGCTAGAGGAAGAACGAAGGGCGGAAGAGATAAACCGAGACCGATCGCCATCCTAGAAATCCGCTATTTTTCTGTGGGTTTGACACATTGGGTTGTGTTTGGCTAGTTCTTGTAAATTTCTTAGGCCATATCACCACTGTCATACAATAATTGATGTGCAAACAACCGTCCGAGCTTAGTAACATTACATCGGCCGATGGCAAATCTCAACCACAAACCTCTTAGCTTGACGTGGTAGCTCTCCGAACCAATTCTGTTTGTTTCAAAACATTCTGGCATTCCTTTATTTCAAACAATACTATTGACGGAGCTAAATATAAAATGGGAGAGTCCATTCTTTCATCTATTTTATTGTTCATTTTAAAGGTAAAGTCAGAATTGAATTATAAGACTATTAGGTGAATCTTTATAGAATTATGAGTGACTCATTTTTTTTATAAGGTGATAGGATGCCCCCATTAACATGTACAAGTTTTGTTAACATCCCTCTACATTTGTGATAATGGGAATTTACTCTAAAGAGACAGACACATGGACAGAGGGATTTCGGGTATTATGTTCATTGAGGTTGAAATTGCTGTCTAAATCACTTTTAGAAATCGATCTATCAATAGGAAGATGAGACATCAAAATCTAAGCCAAAGATTCTGTTTTCCTAAGCAAAATCCAAACTAGTTGCTCATTCGTTCAAAAAAATAAAATAAAACAGGTCATTGTCTGTCTTTGCCTTCAACCATATATGTTCATCGATAAGGTCAAAGTTAAAGAACAATCAAATTTTTTTTTATAAAAAGAGGATGAACTTATAAAATTTAATTTTAGAGATAAAAGGAAATTATCAATAAATATATATATATTATAATTTAAAAATTTTAAGAGATGTGTGACTTAATAATGCCATCCACGAACAAATCAAATAGGGGTAAGAAATCCCAAATTAAAAATAAACAAACAGTGAAAGGTATGGTAGTGAAAATGAGAAAGTGGGAATCTTCACCAAACCCAGAATTGGCCTCTCATTTTGTGCCTCATCGCAATAACAGTATGGAAGGCAAAGATGAAAAAAAAAAGGGGGAAGATGTGGCAGTGAATGATAGGGCCAGCTCTTTGTCGAAACATGGTGGAGTGGCGGCCGACATTCAAATGTTGATGAGCTTTCCTTTGCCGTCTGCCATCAACAGGTGTCTTTTTCTTCCTCCATTTAACCATCTTTAATAAAGGAAAATAGAAACACTTTTGATTAGGGAGGATAAAACATTGACCCATGAGCAATCTAAGTATCTAACCAATGAAGCTAACAAAGCTTATTTATTTATTTATTTTCCTGTGAAAACGAGCAGATAAAGGAGTTGCAGCATGCACGCGTTTAAGTCACTGTAGAAGTAGACTCTGTTTGGATCCTTTGCTGTTATTAATATTTTCTTTTAAATATTTATCCATCATTTATATTCAAATTATTATTTTAAAAATAAAAAAAAATATTTATTTTGAAACCAAAAACATTTCTGTTGGTCAAGAGATGGACAGCTTCAGTTCTACTTTGTCACGATGCATGAAATTTAGGGCTGCAATGTGAAAGTGGAATTTTGGAGGATTTTTCATGACAATTTTTAGCCAATGTTGGGATTCGGTTCTGAAAATTATGTCATCTTTTCCACGTGCAATTATTTCCTAATCTCCGCTCACAATACTGCTCATGGAAAACGAAATAATTTGGGTTCACAACGGAAGTGAATTGATCAAGATTTTAATTAGCCTTAAATCCATCATTATTTTATAAAGGGTTAGTCTAAATATACCAATTTTTTTACTAAACCTACCAAAAGATTGATGTAATAATTATGTTTTTTCATTTTTTATTAAAACACCAAAATATTAATGTAATGATTATGTTTTTTCTTTATATGTATTAAAATTTTTATCATTATGTAATAATGATGTATTTTTATATTTTATTAAAATTTTATCTTTTTCATTATTAAAGTTTTTAATTAAATTATTTTTCATTTATTTCTTTAATATGGTAATAATTATTTATTTTTTAAATTTTTGTTATCTTTTATATTTATTTAATTATACATACATGTATAAAAAATAAATATTAAAATATTCATTGATAAATAAACTAGAATTACAATAAATTGAACGTTACATAATTACTTCGATAGGTCAAAAGTTTCAGGAATACGAAAATAATATTCACGAAACTCTTCCTGACGACTAACATATGGGTCTTCCCATGCAGATGCAATGTCACTTTTATATGTGATCCAAAGTGGATGAGTCATCGGCAAAGGACAACCTTCGCGTAATGTCGCTTTAATATAATGGTTATCATTCACATGTGCAATGACGATTGTCCCATGTGGCTCTGATTGTGGTGGACTTGACCAAAGCGGGAAAATCGTAGTACAACCTCCGACGTTTCCTCCATTAGCTAGACTTATAACAACTCTATTGTATGCAGAAGCAATAATCAATCCCGTGTTTGGCATTTCCATCCATTTTCCAGCTAATTGTACGGTTTTATAGATTTTTTATAATCTGTCGTTCCAAATATATACTTGTACTTTTGCTGGTTAACATCTAACTCCCGCACCAAGTCTGATCGAATTCGAGGCCATTGATCCTCAGATAGACCAAGAGCGACAGCGACCGATCGAAATCCGCAATTTCCGTCACCTATTACATCTTGTAAACCTGTAAGATAATGACGGAAAATTTGTGGAAGTTGTTTCAAAAATCTTTCCGAACCAGGTCTGGTAAACGACTGGCTTACATATGAACTGTGTCTCGCGGGTTCTTCGTTTAAATTCGGGAACAAGTCGTGTGCGCTTGTTACATATGAATTGTGTCTCGCCGTTTCAATATTTGTCGGTTCCAAATTCAAATCTATATCAAAAAAATATGGTGGAATAACTACTTTTACCAGGATCTTGATTTTTCGGATCAACACACTTCTTCTTTTTTTGTTTCTTCAAGCTTGGCCGCCCGCGAGTATTTTTTTTAACTGCGGGTTCTTTAATAAGATTTGTGCTTGGATTGAATATATCGGCTAGCTTTCTTAAGAAACTCTTCTTTCCAGCGTTGGACTGCTTTTTGAATTTTTCTTTGAAAATATGCAGTTCATCGTCACATTGAATATCTTCATTTTCCAAGGGTGTTGACCATGAAACATCTAGTGTCCTCCAAAAAAATATCAATTGAATCCAAAGGGATATCCTCACCTGAAAAAACAAGTTTTAGTTTCTAAAAAACCAATACCTCCAAATAATCAAATGATTTTAGTTAAATAAACTGACCCGAATTTAAGTACGCTGAAAGTACGCAAGCACAAGGTAGCCCACAACTCTTACGAAGTTGACAACCACATGTTGAGTAGTTAAACTCAAGATCACTCAATCGATGTAGTTCTCCTAAAATCATATCAAGAGCCTCGTTTGAAACAAAACCCCGTAATAAGTTGAAACATGGTTGGTTATGTTGATGATAACGATAAATTCTACTTCTTTCAAAGCTTTCATTTATTGATGTAACCTGGGACTGCACGATTTGATTGATATAGCCCACAAATTGATCTAATGAATATTTTTTGGATTCCAAGTACTTTTTTAACTTGGCGTGTTGGCTTTCAACTCTGTTGGTTGTGCGATTGCCAAAGTTGAGAGACTGGTCACTCCATGCAGATACAAACCTTTCTTTATAATTATTCAGCCATTGTTCATCCAAATAACTTAAAACACCTGAAAAGTTAAATAAAATTAAAATATAATTATTTGATATGAAATATTAAAAAATATATTAAAAAAATGTCAAATATAAAAAATTACGTGGATATTTCCTCAATACTAATTGAAGTTGCTTGTAGTTTTCCATGTACGATATCCACGTCGAAGAATCTTCTAGTAACTTCCACACCGAAAGAAAAGAGTCCCAATCACGTTGCGTCTTGATTGTTGGCCTGCAATTCTTCAAAATATTTTGGCTAATGTGCCATCTACAAAGTAATCGAGTAGCATTCGAAAAAACTTTTTCGCATGCTTTCATGAGAGCCAACTCTCTGTCGGTAATTATAACACGTGGTAGCATGCACTCATCTAGTGTCAACTTTAAACACTCTAACACCCACTTATAGTTGTCCATCTTTTCTTCACTTATAAAGGCAAAAGCTATGCAAAATGTTTTTCTTGTAGAAGTTACGCCAACAATCTCAACAAAAGGCATATTATACTTGTTCGTCTTGTACGTAGCATCTATCATCAACACATGTGGGAATGCACGCCATATCTTAAAAGATGTCGGATGAACAAAAAATAAAGCTTCCAGCTTGTTCGTAACATCATTTGTAGAAAAGTCGTGAACATAACCATTGGAGTGTAAAAGAGACATAAGAACCTGCATTCAAATTTTCATAATTAAATTACACTTTGATTATTTGAAAATAAAAAAGTCAAAATATAAAGGAAACAGAAAAAGATGTGTAATGTTTTACATTACACTTTGATTATTTGAAAATAAAAAAGTCAAATATAAAGGAAACAGAAAAGATGTGTAATGTTTTACCTGCATCGTACTTTTCCCAACTTGTAAGGACTTGCGAATTTTATATTGTGCATTATATATGTCTTTAAGTGTTGACACGTTATTTCCATTTTGCGACTTTAATATCGATACAATGTCACGTGGCGGCACATTCTTCTTTGTCATATCTTCAACCAATCGATATTCATCTTTAGACAATCGTCTCGCATATGGATGCCCCTCCATATGTTGTGCAGGAAGATGATTATGTTCATCACATATTACACTTATCAACCAACCATTATATATACTTGAATACTTTCCTATCAATTGGAATGGACAATTAATTTTTCGGGTA